ATGGCACAAGATTATTTCAAAGATTAAATAACACAATGTATGTACAGTCAATTATACTAATTATGCCAAAGAAAATACAATGGGAGAAATATTATTAATGGATGTAGTTGAAGACACTGGTCCCAGATAATATATTTCTCTGTACAATAACTGAACCATTTCCAGTTATGTAGAAAACCATTCCGAAAATCCTGCCAAGATTGTTTCCCATATTTTCTTACTCAAAGGCCTCACCTCTGTTGTATGACCCCTCAGAAGGCCTGTCCCTTGAGGGATTCCTGCGGTTGGCTCTCTACACTCTTCTCACACACACATCTCCTTCCCCAGGTCATTACACAGATAGTAGAGCTGAGCTGCAATACTGCATTTCACCAGTAGTGGCCTCTGTGGACACGTGCCCTACAATGTAAAGCAGTTGACAGCTGAGATTCTGAGTGAGGGAATGTCCAAGGGATCAATTTTATAAATTAAAAACAGATTTATGGTGTTTATTTGGAGAGATGCTTTGCAGCAGGCTCCTGCCACATTCCCTCACAGAAGAACAGAGTTGGGACTATTTCGTCCAACTAGTGGTACACAGGACTTAGAGGAGGGCATCTTTCCAGCAGCACAGACCGTGGTGTGTTTCCTCAGAATTGTTGTTCAAAGCAGCTGCAGACCAATTATAACCTGGGATTTTTAAATGACAAAGACTGCCCTGGAGAGAGTGCTAATATTCCCTTTAAAACCCTGTAAAGCAAGTGTTCTCTTAAAAATGTTGTGTGCTGACTGCAAAGTAGATTTACCTGACTGATGCCACAGGGAGACCCTCAGAACCAAGGCAAGGGGTCTCGGTGGGACAGAGGGTTTTAGAAGGCCAAGAATAGAGCACAGTACATCAATATACATCACAGGGTATTATCAATGAGGGGTACTATGCTAGCAGAGCTCCGAGAGCTGGTTTGGCTTGCCCAAAAAAACACTCCTGATGAGTTGTTAAGAGCATAGATTCCGAGAATTGTGTTTGTGTCTCATGCAAACACTGATTAACTGTGCGCCTTTGAGCCATTAATTCACCAAGTTAACACTCAATTTCCTCTTGCATAAAGTGAGCACGATAATTCTTACCTCATCAGGGTATTCTAAGAATCAAACTACAAAGCGTACCTACAGTGTAGAGAACAATCCAAAACTCACTGCCATCGAATCATTTCCGACTCATAGCGAACCTGTAGGGCATAGTAGAACTGCCTCTTAGGGTTTCCAAGGCTGTAATGTTTACAGAAGGGAAGTGCTATGTCGTTTTCCAGTGGAGCAGCTGGTGGGTTTGAGCTACGGACTTCTTTGGTTAGCAGCCAAATGCCCTAACCACTACCCACAAGAGCTTCTGATCTTTATGAAAGGAACCCTGGTAGCATAGTGGTAAAAAGCTTGACTGCAAACCAAAAGGTTAGAAGTTCAAACCCACCAGCCACTCCAAGGGAGAAAGATGTAGCAGTCAGCTTGTGTAACGATTACAGCCTTGGAAAGACTATGAGGCAGTTCTGCTATGCCCTACAGGCTCACTACAAGTTGGAGTTGATTCATGGGTTCGAACAGCCAATCTTTCAGTTAGCAGCCAAACACCTAACCACTATGTCACCAGGGTTCCCTGCCAAGAACAAACCCATTACCATCCAGTTGATTCACACTCATGGCAACCCTACAGGACAGAGCAGAACTGCTCCAATGAGTTTCCAAGGCTGTAATCTTTACAGGAACAGACTGCCACATCTTTCTCCCTCAGAGAGGCTGCTAGGTTAGAACTACCAAGTTCACAGACAACCACTTAACCACTGTGGTTCCAGGGCTCCAGTCAAGAACAATAAACATCCCTAAAACAATAACAAGGAGCTCTGGTGGCATAGTGCCTAAGGCATTTGACTGCTACTCAGAAGGCTGGCTGTTCCAACCCATCAGCCACTCCTTGAAAGGAAGATTGGGCAATCTACTTCCATAGTGACACCACCTCGGAAACCCAAGGAGGGGTGCTATGAGTCAGATCCAATTAGACGGCAGTGAGAGTTGAGTTTTAAAACAATAACAGATGTTATATCAAAACCATATCCCCTTGGAACTCACCATTCAAGCTGATGGCTTCCTACTGAGAGCACCTGCATTCTCTGCCTGGGTCCTCTCAGCCCAGGTCCACGGGCCAGGCTGGCAATGCCAGGGATTTAGGACCTCCAGGCACAGTCCTTAACCAATCGGGCATGAAAGTTGGTGCATAAATGCTTCTATTTCCTCACAACCCTCAATTGCAACAACTGTGAGGTGTGTTCGACACTCTCTCCCAGCGGTCCCCGGTGGTCTTGAGCTCCATTTTCCCACTGGTAACCTGCTTATTAATAGACTCTGCATTGCCTTCCACCCCTTCTCTGTCTCTTTCTTACTTCTGAACTAGAGTTTTCTGGAATGGCCTTTGAAATATACTGCTGACACTCAAATTCTTGCTTCAGGATAAAATCCAGGCTAAACCACTGTATCTTATGATATAACTAGGATTAATAGTTTGGAGAGGTGGGTTTGCATTGAAATGTTCAATCCGCTAACCATGTCCTGTCCATCCAGCCTGATTCCAACTTCTCTTCCATCCATTGTCACTGGCTCCATTGAGGCTCTTCTGGTTCTTTCTTTTTTTGCCTCGTCTCTAACTGATCTCTATGCTTCCAGTAACCCCATAATCTAATGCAGCACCCACTTAATGCCAAAGCTATCATACAAAAATGCTGTTCTGATAATGCCATGCCATTTTTTTCTTTTTAAAGTTTTCTAGGAAACCATTGCCTCCAATATTAAGTCTAAATGCTCAGAAGCTGGTTCCGAGCCACCTTTCAGCCTCATCTCCAATGATTGCTCAACATAACTGATGCTCAGACCACAAAGAACAGATTAATATCTTCTCAAAAACCCTTTCCTCTGTTCCTTTTGTGCCTCTTTGAATGAGGCTGCCTCTGCTGAAGTACATCTTTCAAGGTTTGGCTCAAATACCCCACCGTCCTCAGGCCCTCTCCAACTCCTTGGAGAAAGGGCTCCCACAATAGCTTCTGCATCCATTGACTCAGTCATTAATTCAGCCAGCATTTTTCTGGGCATGTATTATTACTATGTACCAATCACTGTTGTGAACCTGGTTAGTTCGTGAAGTTTACAGTGAAATGAAGGAAAGAGATACTACGAGGTAATTGCATAAAAGGGACTTAAGTCACAAAGTGACATGAGAGTTTCCACTAAAGGATGCTTACCCAGACAAGTCCTTGAAGAAGGATGTAATGCGTGGTAGAGGGTCAGCAAAAAAGAAGACCCTCAACAAGATGGATTAACACAGTTGCTGCAACAATGAGCTTAAGCATAGCACAGATTGTGAGGACAGCACACGACCTGACACTGTTTTGTTCTGTTGTACATGGGGTGGGTCACTACGAGTCAGAACTGACTTGGTGGCATCTGACAACAAGAGTGGTCCGCCTGTGGATTGGAGAGGCTCTCACAGGAACTGCCTAGTTAGTGGAGAGTTGTTGTTTGTTGTTGTTATGTGCCGTTGAGTACGACCCCTCCTTGGGTTGCTGAGGCAGTATCACTACAGAAGTAGATTGCCCCATCTTCCTTCCGAGGAGTGGCTGGTGGGTTTGAACCGCCAGCCTTCTGGTTAGCTGTCACGTGCCTTAGCCACTATGCTACCAGAGCTCCCAGAGGAGAGTAGACGTAGGAATTAACACTGGATGAGGGAGGTGGGAGCACACTTCCAGGCCAAGGGGACAGCAGGTGCTGACCCTTGTGCTTGGAGGGAGCACAGCTCTCTTTTTGAGAACTAGAAGGCCAGGGTATTCACACAGCCACAGGGAGAGGAGGCTCTAGCCTCCATTGTGCTGCATCTATTCCTTGCTGTGTCCTCCCTGCTTCCTGCTCCTTGAGATCTGAGCTCCACAAAGTAATGATTGCATGTCAAAGTCACACTCACCCCAGCACCCAGCACAACGAACAAAACGAAAATACCCATTTTATGGCTGAGGGACTCTGAGGCTCAGAAAGGCCTAGAGGGTTGTCCAAGACCCCGAGGCTGGCAGCAGCTGCACAGCAACTCCATCATACACCTATCCCTTCTCAACCACATCCTTGTCCTTAAACTACCAGGAGGCATGCCCCACCCATCTTTTTTCTAGAAAAATCAGTTTTTCTGTGAGTACCCATTACACCCTGCAAACGGCGCATAACAAAACAAAGAATGAGTCACGCCTGTTGTGGGTTTGTGTACGGTGTGTATGTGTGTGTGCGTTTGTGGGACTTTATTGGGAGGCGGCGCACATTTCATGGTCTGGAAGTCCAAGTAAGATCAGGATTCTTTTCTGGAGCCCCTTGTAAGACCTGCCACAGTGTGGCCGCTGAAAAGTAGGCAGGTAAGGCCGGCCCTGGCGCTGGCCCCTTGAAGAGCATCCCGACCTGTGGGCCCGGAGTGAAAAGACCTAGGGCTTGGACTCATCCTTGCTCTCTTCGAGGCCCTGAGTGGGACCTCTCATTTCCCGCTTTCCTCTCTGCCCTTCCACCCAGGACTGGCGGTTTAGGAATCAGCCCAGTTTCCCGGCTATTCCTCCCGCCCTTGCACATCGGTGGGAGAGGAGGCAAGCTTGTCAAGGGAAGGCTTCCTCACCGACCAAAACATTCATCTCTGTCCATTTCAAGGCGCCTGAACCTCCACCGTATATAACCAAGTACTGCGCCCACAGAGGAGGGCAGGGTGGTTTCTCTGCTTGTTTCATTTACGAGTCTTGGGCAAACCCAGGTCTGGGACTGCGATCCAAAGCCTGATTTCAGACCTGTTCAGGAAGTGGAGTTAGGGCTCCACTGGGTCTGGGAAGAATGGTGGGGAGTGGGGGGTGGGCGGGCGCAGGCGCGGCTCTTGCGAGAATTACGGCGAAGGCTGTGGACCGCGGCGGCGCTCGCGGAGGCTGCAGCCATTGCACAGCCGAGCATCCCACATTCAACAGGAGGGACCCTCGGGAGAGCAGCCCCTCGCCCCTAGCCCGCGCAGCCGCCGCAGATCGTGCGCCCGCGTCCCGGTGCGCCATGGCCAAGGAAGGTGTGGAGAAGGCGGAGGAGACGGAGCAGATGATCGAGAAGGAAGCAGGCCAGGAGCCGGCGGAAGGCAGCGGCGGCGGCGGCTCGCACCGCCTCGGGGACGCCCAGGAGATGCGCGCGGTGGTGCTGGCTGCCTTCGGGGGGCTCAACAAGCTGCGGGTCGCCAGGAAGGCCATGCCGGAGCCCCAGGACGGCGAGCTGAAGATCCGCGTCAAAGCCTGGTCCAGTATCCACCCCTTTCTCGCTTTCTCTGTGCGCGCTGGGTGCTCCGGGGAGGGGGTGGGCGAGCCAAAGAGGGGACGCTGCCTGGGGTGGAGCTGCCGCGGGCTCCCGCGCCCGGAGCCCGGTGCCCGGGGTCCGCGCAGCCCTCCGCGTGCGCACCGGCGCCTCGGAGCTTCCCAGCAGCCCGCGTCCCGCAGAGGAGGGATGCCGGGGTGGCCTTCCCTCCCGGAGCCGGACGCAGGGGTGACCGGAGGAGCTCCTGAGCGCCTGGCGGTGGGGAGAGGGGATGGCGATGGTGGCGCCCCGTCTCGGGATCTGGAAGGCTGTGTTGCGGGAGCCCTCCACCGGGTGGGACGGCTCAGCTGCTAGCACAGGGGTTTGATTGTTGTCAAATAATAACCTCCAACTTCCAGTGTGCCAGCCGCCGTTTTGAAGAGTTTTAGCTGTGCGATCTCGTTTCATACTTCCTAGAACCGCTTGAGTTAGGGACCAACATTATCCCCCGTTTCAAGGGAGGAAACCAACAGGACCGAGCCTCCGCCAGTGGCGCGGCCAGGATTTGATACTTGGATCATCTGAACCTGTGTGCTGGGGCTGGGGACGTGCGTGCCACCCCCTTTCCTGGACAGATCCCCTCTTCTGGTTTGGTAGATGGGGGAACTGTATGCGGAGGCAGGGTACCGAGCATCCGATCTTGTCAAGGAGTGAAGCCTAGGCTGCCACTTAACTCTCCCAGACCCCACTTCTCTATTTCTCCAAGCCGGGGATGGGGGTAGATGGGGGATGGTGACCCAGGCTTTGAGAACTCCTGCGCCCACCTCGGGAGCTCAGCTTGCAAGGAATGGCCATTCTACTCCCCACTTCCCCTGGGGCAATTTCCCCAGACTCGCCAGCTGGGGTTTCCCTGGTGTTTATGCCTCTCTGGATGCCTGCCTTATAAGACCATTTTCCTCAAGTTTTGGGAGGGTTCTCTCCATGTAGGGGCCCAGCGAGGGTAATTTGCCCCGGGCAGCCCCTAAGTTGCGCCCCATCCCCCATTTTCAAGAAGAACAGTCCTTGAGAGCAGCACAGCGGCCCCAGTTCCTGACCCGCTGCCTCAGTCGGGCGCCTTTCCTATCTGTGACGCCTCCACGGCAAGTCTGGAGCCCCTTGGACTTGCGCCCGGGGAAGTGCCCCCGTCTGCCCACCCTGCTTGCTATCCTCTGGATGCCCACGGTGCCTGAGGATGGACGTTGAGCCCTGTGGGGTTCATAGAAACCGCTCAGTGGCGCCCCGCCCCCCTTAAGTGGTGCCCAGGGCTTGTGCTATACCTGCTGCCCCTCCGATGCGCCTCAGATCCCTTGAGGCTATGGCAGAAACTAACACTCCGAGTTCTCCATCCAAGCACTAAAGTAAAACTCTTAAAGGGAACCTGCTGTTACCACCGTGGGACTGGCCTATCCCTTCTCGCATCCCATCTCCCTTTACTAAAGCCCTCAGTAGACATTGACCTCTAAAACAGCAGCCAGCTCCCCAGCTGCCAGAATTGGGGACCTATCTATTAAAAAAAAAAAAAAAAAACAAACCTGGTCATTCCTCTTCCTTTTGCTGCGTAGAGAGCAGATGCAGGTTTCCGTGGGCACACTGGCAGCGGCTGGTGGGCAGTGGCCACACACCTCTGGCCAGTGCCTCCTCTGTGCTGCCTGGCTAGCTTGACTCTAGGCTCTTGGGCCCTCTCTGGAACACAGAACAAGGGAAGAGGCTTTTGCAACCTGGGGAATCTTAAGCAAGTTCTGTTTTGTTAACTTTTGCTAAACTGAGCTGGTTGATTCCAGAAGACAAGGCTTTCTCCAGTAGCCAGCATAACGCTTGACACACAGTGTTTGTCTGATAAGAAATTACTGAATGAATAGACTGAGGAAGGATGCTTGGAGGCGGATCGTGGATTATTAGTTTTCCTTACTTGCTGGTGGAAGAGCTTCTGCTTAGTGAAATCAAAACCATGTACTGATAACTACTGCCTTAAGCATTCTCCTAGTACATAAAATACCCTTCCATCCAAACTAAGGATTGGATCCTAGGACTCATGTGTCACAGGAGCTACGCAGAGAGTGAAAGTGTCGAAGCCACTTTCCAGAGAAGAAAAACATTCTCTGCATCATAAGTAGGTCTGTGTTCTCTAGCTTTATGTTAACTACATAAATACTGATCACAACTAAGGCTTTTTGAAATAATAAATGTCAAGATGAAGGCCAGGAGATGAATTTTCAAAGCCACGCTCACAAGCCTATTTTTCACTGGAGCTGTAAAAACACACACACACACACACACACACACACGCGCGCGCGCGCGCGCGCGCGCGCGCGCGCGCCACTGCAGACTCCCCACCCCCCACTGCTCAGAAAGCCAGCTAGGCATGGTGGGGGGAGCGGCGTTTGGAATACAGTATCACAAAGGGCCCAGATTGATTTTCATTTTGCCAGGCTGGAAGCAGAGTTAATCGGTTTTGCAAGGGGGAACTGGAAGAGGCTCACGAAGGGTGCCTGCTGGGCCCTTCCTCCTGCACTGGGCCTGGATTGGTTGGCCAAGGATGCCCAGTGACTGTTAAGTTTTAGCCTTTGGAACCAGGATGACTCATTCTGTATTTTTATGAATCAGTTGATGGTCTCCTGGGTGAAGGTCCCCCTTTGAACGGCTCTCTATTTTCAGTGGAAACCTTTTATCATCAAACAGGATATACTTTTTGCTTGGGAAAAAAGCATAGCCCATCAGCACTAGAATAATTCAGACCTGGAATGGAGGGTCCAAGTTGATTACACATTTTATGGAAATAGAAGAACACAGGAAGGGAGGAAATACATATTTTACCTCATCTACCCCGCCTCCTCAAAGCAGCTCTGGTGGTGTAGCAGACAAGGCATTCGGCTGCCAACCAGAAGGTCAGCAGTTCAAACCCACCAGCTGCTCATCAGCAGGAAGATGGGGTGATCTACTTTCACAATGATTTACAGCCTCGGAAACCCAATGGGGACACTGTGAATTGGAATCGACTCTATGGCAGTGAGTTCTTTTTTAGACCCCCTCTTATAAGGAGCTCTGGTGATGCAGTGGTTAAAGCATTTGGCTGCTCAGTAAAAAGCTCGGCAATTCAAACCCACAAGCCACCATGTGGGAGAAAGATGTGGCAGTCTGCTTCCATAAAGATTTACAGCCTTGCAAAGCCCTATGGGACAGTTCTACTCTGTCCTGTAGGGTCACTATGACTCAGAATCCACTTGATGGCAGTGTTTTGTTTTGTTTTGTTTCCCCTTTCTCCCTCTCATTTATAATCTAATGAGGTAGGTATCGTTCTGATATTACAGAAGAGCAAACCGAGGCTCGGAGAGGTTGAGTACCTCGCCTAAACTATTACACAGATAGCTGAGTTAGGATATGATTCTGTCTCTGCTTAAAGCTCTGTGGTTTTCCTTTTATTCCATTTTGTCCCCGTCCATGTTGTTATTGTTGTTGTTGTTATGTGCCGTCGAGTCAGACCCGACTCATAGCGACCCCTCCTTGGGTTTCTGAGGCAGTGTCACTACGGAAGTAGATTGCCCCATCTTCCTTCTGGGGAGTGGCTGGTGGGTTTGAACCACCAGCCTTCTGGTTAGCAGTCAAGTGCCTTAGCCACTATGCTACCAGAGCCCCCTCCATGTAGAGGACAAGAAATGTGATTGGCCTCTTTGAACCTTCGACCTCTAAGCTTGCTCTCCTCCCTTTCTTCAATGAATGTGGCTCTTCACTCTTTTTTTTCTGTCTGGCTGAAGGGAACATACTCGAGTTAATCTCAGAGTAGCATGGCTTTCCACTAAAAGCAATGAATGTTAGTCACATGAAGCTCAGAAAGAGCCACTGGGGGGTGAGGAAGAGGACTAGAGGCTTCTGTCTGAAGTGTTAAGAACATCATGGATGGGGGACTCATTTCACCAACTATTCATTAAACAATTTACTCAGCAAGTGGCTTAAGTAGCCAAGTGGAAAAGGAGTGTGACCTTTGGAGAAAGGCAGACCTGGATGTAAGAGTAAGCTCCACTATTTCCTTCTGTGTGACCTTGGTTGACACATCTTTTAACTTCCCTAAGCTTCCTTTGCCTCATCTGCAAAATGGGTATAATTTGAATATCACAATATTGTCGTAGGATTGGATGCAATAAGGAGACTCATGTACTGTTGGCACTCAATAGTGATCGTTACTTTGTCATCTCCACTTGCTGTCAAGTTGATTCCAGCTCCTCGTGGCCATGTGTATGTCAGAGTAGACCTCTTCTTCACAAGGTTTCCAATGGCTGAGTTTTCATGAGTAGATTTCTAGGTCTTTCTTCTAAGGTGTCTGTGTGGACTTGAACCTCCGGCTTTTTGGTCAGCAGCTGCACACATTAACCATTTGCACCACCTGGGGACTCGGTCGCTGTCATATCTGTCCTTGTTGTTGTTGTTAGGTGCTATTGAGCCAGCTCCAACTTCTAGTGACCCTGTGTGCAACAGAATGAAACACTGCCCAGTCCCATGCCATCCCCACAATCCATGCTATGCTTGAGGTCATTGTTGCTGCCACGGTGTCAACCCATCTCATTGAGGGTCATCTTCTTTTTCACCGACACTCCACTTTACCAATCATGATATCTATGCCTGTAAGACATATATTTCCTGGTGACCTGACAATGTACAGACCGTGATCTTAATCATGTGCAATATGATGTAGGCAATATCGTGACCAGTCTGCTTGGTGACAAAGGGTTAGACCTTCCTAGACAGGAGCCTCAGCTCTGCTACTTGCTCACCAGGTGTCTTAGGGCTGGTGCCCTGGAAGCAGAGCCTGAGATAGATTCTTTTTCAAGTGGTTCATTGATGAGATGCTTTCAGGAGAATGAGAGCAAAGGAGGCAACATGAGGCAGGAGAAAAAGCCCAGCAAAGCTGTGGTCTCAGCTGCAACCTACCAGGAGCTTTGGAGTAAGAATCGAGCCACAGAGCCAGTCAGTC